CTCGTTTAACTTTGAAACTTTAGTGTCAACTCCCAATGACCCCACCATGAGTCAAACTTAGGATCCTAATGTATTGCAATGAGAGCGTTTCTTTAATAATAAGCTTCAATCCAGTGACTTATATTTTCACCTATCAGGTGTCGGTGTAGGGTGACGATCTTCTGATGTCATTGATGATAACTATTTCAGTAAGTATATGTTTAAACCTTACTTGTCACAGCTTCTCACTACGACTTTGTTAATCCATTTCCTTGCAATAAACTGATCTGAACTATTTACTGAATTAATCGAAAAGTTGTTTGCATATACACTCAAACAAGGTTCGATCTTTGAAATTTCACTAACTGTATATACACATGGGAGGAGAGCATAGCAAATATGTAGACGAATTTATAATTGTTTATTCGACTGACTATATTTCAGCCTAAAAGGAATGCAACAAAACTAATCAAATCACTCTACCTGGTGTTTTAAGTAACCTAAATCAGTGTTATCTGGTTACGTTACTATTTACGCTGATGATGGTTTACCAGCCCAACTATGCGGAGGGGAAATACAAAGTGTACGTAGTTGCACTGGATAAAAACTAGTCTTAGTTGAGTTAATGACCTAATTGGAGTAGATAACCCATATTTGCATCTGACCTACCATGAGGCTCTAAGATTTGTCTTTTTTCCGCATATCAGTTACTCGTGATCCGTTTGTGTTATGAATGTTTTATCATGACGTTTATAACTCAGTTGCTGTTGAAAAAATATAAAGCAAATTATGCAGAAATATTTTTTAAATTACTATAAATATAACTGTGAAGTTGTAGTGAATTATATCGTCCAAAAGAAAACATCAGATTGCTTTCTTGTCTTTCATTCTTCTTGAATGATTTACACTTCTGATCACAGTTGATTAAAGTGATACACCTTGTCAGTATGAATATAAAAATACATAATTTACTTGTTCAACTAGTAACAAGCATAATGATGCATGTAGTGAAGTCATACGTAGTAATTGACATTGTACACGTTTTAACATCGCCCACTGATGCCGTAAGCATTTGAAAGATTTCATTAAGAGTTGTACAAGCGTGAAAGTTTTTGTTGGTTAAATATTTATTTTATTTGAACACATAGATATCGGCACAAGGGGGCATCAGATACATATGCGCCACACAAATCTCATTTGATTTGTGTGAGAGCTGTGATACTGTCCGGATCCTCTAACCAACGCAGGTGGTTCCCTTAGGGGGCAGTGGAGCATCGTGAGGAGATGCAGTCCCATGGTAGCCGGTGACCGACGATTGGTTCATGTGCCATTTGTTCTCGCAGTATACTGGAGCCCATGTGCACCATTGGTTTGGAGTCAGTGTATTCCAACTGCCCTAGGTGGACTCTCCATGTCCACTAACCCGGTTAAGGCGCCGGACATTCGCTTTTCGTCCTCTCGATTTCGTGAACAACACCCTCGCCACGAGAAGGCAGTGAGTAGGACTTCCCTGGCAGAGGCTGTATACGCGTCGCCATGTGATAGCATTTCGAGAGGGAGAGCAGACTCTCAACACTCTCGACCGTACCAGGGCATTTGGGGGCAAAAACTGAGAGCCAGTCGCCTGCCAGAACCCGGGACATTTAGATCTTCCAGCTGGCTACCCAAATGAATTATTTTTTACAAACTCTTTCTATAATCATCAGAAATTCTGCCTTATAGTTAGTAATAACGAATGACTGTTTAGTTAATAGCCTTTCGATAAATACAGTAAAACTGGATGACTAGTTCCTAGGATTTTCAATAGTTGCTAAGTTTGAAGGTTATCAATAAAAAATCATGAATCAGTTAAGTGATAAAATTTCATATTATCATTCGGTCGAATTACGAAATATGAATCGTATTATGACTGATGGTCGACTGCTATGACTGTGTCGTAAATTGTTATGTCAGGATTGCTTACCACTTATACTTGTAAAACGAGGATCCACTGAAATTGCCACATCGCGAAAATAAGAACGCCAAGACTGGTACAAGTGAAGATTTATTAAACCCAAAACACGACGACCCTACTCGAAAATACACTCATTTATTTATTGATTGTACACCCATTTTAATTAATAATTAGGATAAAATCACGTATATAAAAGATATCCAGAGTTATAAAAAATCACAAGCTGAGTGTCATGCTGAGCGTAGTTCATATTAATTTAATACAAGAATATCATATATTGAACAAACACCACACTGAAATAAATCAATATTATACCGAAGAAAATATCACACTTGGAAAACAAACGCAAATCCTACATTGAGTAATTAGCATATTGAATTAAAAATCGAAGTAATGTTGAACAAAAAGTCACATTGAGTAAAGGAATGTAATGTCACCTTTTTATCCTGTCATATCACCTCCCCCTTCTTTAAATGGAATACGTAAGAATAAATTTTCCACGGAGAGTTTATCACAAAGGTTGTTGTTCTTTTTTGTACTCGCTGGGACTTCAGCCGGTAACGTAGTCGTATTCCAGCTCCCGGTTGTTTCTTTCCAGCATCATTTGAAAAAATAATCAACTTTACCTTCTGAGTTATATACCTCGCTCCTTCGTTCAATGCAATGATTCTCTCTCCCTCACGAAACTATGTTGAATCTTCATTTACTCAAGTTACAAATAATGTGACTTTATTGACCTGAACTGTTTTATCACTACTAGCACCATTGTATGTGCATATTGAGGCGTATGGGTATACGCAGAAGTTGAAGGATCCTTTTGTCGCTCATGGGCATTTCTCAAAAACGTTATATCAATTGATTTATCATAGCATTGAGGAGGGATTCTATGTAACATGTATGAGGTGTGACAGCACCAAACATCTGAAATGTGATTCATTTAAAACACTTTTCTCACACTGACTAGAGGTAAGTGGATTGTGAGGATAAATAACATTCGATATGGGTCTATTTGAACTATAATTAGAGTTGAACCCATTGAGAATTTATGAATCATAATGACTAAGGTTTCCACTAGGAACAAATGCATTGTGAGAACAAGTAACATTGGTTATAATGTCAGAATTTGATTCATTTGAAATATTTTTCTCAAATTCACTAAGGACTTCATCAAAAACTAGTGAATCATTAAGATAGTCAGCATCTGATATGACATCATTAGAAATTTGACCGGGAATTCATTCGTTTCAAACATTTGTCTCATTAGACGTGACTAGATAATTAAAATGAGAGGAATCTGATAAAAGAATATCCGAACATTGTCCAGAGTCAACATTATTAAAGGATTCGTTGACCTCAATCACAAAACTTTTTTTATTGTATCAGTTAATTCGTTAAGTGTATCTATAATTTTTGAGTGTGATTCTGGATTCGATTGTACTGTGCTTACAACACTAAATCTCACAAAAATATGAATAAAGAATGTAGTCGATTAATATGAATTCATTTATTTCGTGGATTGTTCTCAGCTGCTTACAATACAAAAACAATAATATTACCCATTAAAAATAATAAGTGTCCAAAGTTTATGTTGGAAAAGGCCTAGATAAAACTAAGATTGACTTGTACATTAGGATAATAAGAGCCAATAATTGTGAAGGAGTTGAAAACTGTAAACATGGTTGTTTATTTATAGGGTGAATATACGAATATTCTAGAAGAGAAAACATAGATAAGGATGAGAAAGATGTGGACTAGTAGATCAAAATTCAGAAAGAGCAGGAGAATTCCTGGTCATTTTATGATGATAACTCAAATGTGATTATTTCTTTTTTACTTCTGTCGTATTTCAGTGGAAAATGAATATGTTAGTATAGACTGAACAACAAAACAATTGTTGACATTCACTTTATATTGTTTTACTTGAATCTTCCCATTGATGTTTAGGACTGAAATTGATCAGTTTCTTATTGGTATATGTGCATATTGCCTTAATTTACAAGCATTATAAGCAAAGATGAATAGTAGCTAGCAGTGGAATCCAAGACGCGCATTTCGTCCTATTTTGGACTCGTCAGCTGGATGTACCTGCGTTCCAGAGTTGATGTTCACTCTGGGACTCGAACCCAGTACCATTCTCTTCAAACGCCATCGCGTTATCCACTTAGCTACTGAGTCCTGATAGAGACTTGCTTGTGCAATGGGGTGAAGTTTAATTCACTTGATATTGTTTTACTCGAATCTTCCCATTGATGTTTAGGACTGGAATTGATCAGTCTCTTATTGGCATATGTGCATACTGTGAGTATTGCCTCGATATTGCTTCAATTTACAAGCATCAATTTCAGTCCTAAACATCAATGGGAAGATTCAAGTAAAATAATATCAAGTGAATTGAACTTCACCCCATTGCACAAGCAAGTGGCTATCAGGACTCAGTAGCTAAGTGGATAACGCGATGGCGTTTGAAGAGAATGGTACTGGGTTCGAGTCCCAGAGTGAACATCAACTCTGGAACGCAGGTACATCCAGCTGACGAGTTCAAAATAGGACGAAATGCGCGTCTTGGATTCCACTGCTAGCTACTATTCATTTTCGCTTATAATTGTTAACATTGTTAGCTAGTTAAATTGAATATACGATACAGAATAGCTGAATTTAATATAAAATGTGCAACTAAGTTACGAAATTTTCAGTAAATTAAGTCTTAGTTTAATTGTAGTTTTAATGATTAAGGTTTGCAAGTAGTACAGTTAAGCAGCTAACAGATGTACTGAATACTTTATTACTCTATAGTTACTTATTTATTCATCTCTTCATTCATTTTTTCTAGTAATTTATTATGATCTGAAATTTCTATACCTTAAAATGGTTCATTATTGTGTTTAAGCCTCATGTACGTAGTTTATAACTATATAAATATGATAAAGAAAATTTGGATTCTTTAAATAATCTGGCTAATCGAAATAGATACGTGAGCATAAATCGTATAATGATAGAGATTTTACAGGAGTATCTCTTGCTTATATAGCGAAAACTTCGAAATCAGAGAAACCAACTGATAAGTGTATATGGTAAGTAACTGTTTATTTTAAATCATATTGAATTTCACTGACATATTACAAAAAAGAAAAGGCATAACTTTTGAAATTATAAAGAATGTAGAATAAACTTCTGTTTTTAAAATCTCCACAAAAAAGGAACATGAAAGAACAAAACTGACAAGATATACTTAACTAATGAACTACGAATAGTAACTTATAGTTCAGATGACTGATCACCATAATCATCAAAATAGTAAAACATGATCACATCACAATAGCTAAAAGGTATTATTGAAATACGTCTTGAGCACGAATCACAAATATTTTATTAATAATAAAGTTCGGGGAGAATCAACAAACCCTAAGTAAAATTGTCTAGTGTACATAAAGCGTGGTAGAAGAAATGATTGAGGATAGGTAACACAAAAATTACAAACAAAACAGTCAAAACCACACATACGCTACTTGATTTTAATAAAGATCTTTACAAACAACATATATTGTTGTATATTGGACATTCACAAAATCTAGACATGGTGATTAAAAAAATGGTGATAAAAAATGAAGGTAGGGAAAAATGTGGAAAAAATAAGAATAACCAACACAGGAACAACAATAGTAACACAAACAGGAAGAACACAAAGAGATCTAAAATGTATCTGAACAGTGTATCACGAAGTAATTTGATTATCTTCAAATAAATCCGAAGCTTGGACTAATTCACTGACCAATACACAAATAACTATGCGCTCATTGTCTAATGACAACAGTTATGTGATCGGACTAGAAGAGCTCGATTTCGTGCGAATAAAAAGTAGCCAAGTGTGAAACCGAATAGAACAGCCAATAACAAATAGACATTGTACGTCATTACAATCAACATAAGAATATAGCCCATAAATGCATGTACCAAATGTAACATAGTTTGAATAAGATGATAACTTGAACAATAGCTAAATTATTGATCGAAAAAAAATCGTGAATTAATTACTGGGGCTATTGAAATTCGAGTCAGATAAACGAAATGTCATTGTTTTGTATGCTACCTAATAAAATATGGTTATATATAAAATAATTAAACAGAAATGTATACAATTAGATTTTAAGGGCTATTGGAAGATATTAGTACAATTAATTGAGGCCATTTTATTAGGCCCTGTGTGTGTTACTGCAACAGATATAGCAGGTTAATATCGATACATAATAGTACAGAACTTGTACACCCAACTTTGTATGCATTACACCACAAATTACCAGGCACAGATGACTTACTTACGACCCTTTTTAAAGATGATGGCGACCTTCTAGTTAAGGAACGGACTAAGTTATGCACAAAGGTCTGGCAATTAGAGTGTTCCAACATCATGAAATGGGTCGATAGTTGTCTCTATCTCTAAAAACGGTTCACGTTCTTTCTGTAACAACTATCAAGGGATAAGTCTACTTCCGATCGCATTCAAACTATTACATTCCGTCATACTTCGTAGATTGTTCTAAACTCGAGAAAGATTGACTCACGAGGAGCAGGTAGGTTCAAGTTCTCGTCGAGGACGTATTGATCATCTTTTCACCCTCCGTCAAATGTTATAACACTGCTATACTTATTGCAGGCCAACAGTTTTGGAGTTTGTTGATATCAAAACCGTTTTCCATTTGTTAGACAAGAATGTTCTCTGGAATCATCTGTTGAAGAGGGATGTGAGATTTCAAACAACATGTTGAAGGCCTTACATACAAACAACTCAGGTAGAGTGATATCGTACAACCACTTTTCTCCATTGCTTCATTTCAGCGGTAGGGTTAGGCAGAGTCGCCCAGTTTTATCATTTCTCTACAACTTCGCTATCAATGACGTTCTCGAAACGGCTCTGATGGATATAGGTAATGATGATGTGGATATTTTAACGGGAGAAAGACTTCGATCTTGCGTATATGGATGACATTGCCTCTTTGGGTATTGATACCCGAGTCATGCTATCTGCATTTAATAAGTTGGCAATCAGTATCCGTAGGTATGGAATGAGCATTGCACCTTGTAAGTTACTTACTTACTTACGCCCGCTACTCCCCGCGAAGGAGCATAGGCCGCTCACCAGAATTCTCCATCCAACCCTGTCCTGGGCAATCCTTTCCAGCTCTTTCCAGTTATTCATCCTTTTCATATCCGCTTCTATTTCCCGACGTAATGTGTTCTTTGGTCTTCCTCTTTTCCGCTTCCCTTCAGGATTCCAAGTTATGGCTCGCCTCGTGATGCAGTTTGATGACTTCCTCAATGTATGTCCTACCCATTTCCATCGTCTTTTCCTAATTTCCTATTCAGCTGGAAGCTGGTTGGTTCTCTTCCACAGAAGGCTGTTGCTGATGGTATCCGTCCAATGGATGTTGAGTATCTTGCGTAGACAGCTATTGATAAATACTTGTACCTTCTTGATGGTGGTTGTTGTAACTGTCCACGTTTCAGCTCCGTACAGTAGAACTACCTTGACGTTCGTATTGAAGATTTTGACTTTGATATTGGTTGAAAGTTGTTTTGAGTTTGATATGTTCTTCAATTGAAGGAATGCTGCCCTTGCTTTGCCAATCCTCGCTTTTACGTCTGCATCTGAACCTCCTTGTTTATCGATGATGCTTCCCAGGTATGTGAAGGATTCCACATCTTCCAGAGTTTCGCCATCAAGAGTGATTGGATTGCTGTTTTCTGTGTTGTATTTGAGGACCTTGGTTTTCCCCTTGTGTATGTTGAGTCATTATTTATATGGCCTTATTAATGAAAGCTCTAAGGTCATAACAACATGACTATGTCTCTACAGTGACGTAATATCACAAAGTTTACATGTTAATTGACCCTGTAACATCATCACTCTTGAATTTAGGTTGAAGTTAAGTGGATACATTGAAGTCTTTCAAGGTGATTAATAAAAAACCTTCTGAAATTTCCCGAAGCCGTAGCGGCTAAACGTCTAAATTCATACATATGTGTTCAAAAAGATACTAATAAATCTTTCCTTACCCTGATAACATTACATCTTTTTTATTGAGTTATTCATTATTTAAGTTTTTTCTTACGTTTTGGTTAAATCAATGCCATTTTTCTTTAATCCATAATTTTTATTCTCACCGACTGATTTTAACTCATATCATTCTTTATTACCACTTGTCATAACTAGAACGTGTTCTTCTTGCTATACCGCGTACAACTTGAGCACTCGAACACTAGGACCCTCCAAGTCGCAAGTTAGGAGACAGAAGACGAGTATGAAGAAATCTTATACCAAACAGTGTCAAATATGGTGCAAAACACTCATATAGTTTCCAGTAAAAACGAAATTAACATTACAGTTATCCAATCTGGATGGAGGGGTTTTTAGCATTTGTCCAATCGGTAAGCTACATATCGAGATTGTGGATTGTTCTTCCAATAAATGATTCGATGGAATGTCTTCGGCTCTTTCAGAGCTTCCTTGAGTTCACTGAGGGCCATCCCTACACCATTAATAAGTTTTCAGTTACTTTATTACACAACAATCTAAAGTTTGTTAACTCTGATTTCTAATCAATAGTTCGATGTTCTGGAACTTTTTTCCTCACATATTATTTATCTGAAACAAAACTTTCTACGACCTTATTAACCCTTTTAGTGCAGTTTGAAGTGGGAGTATCAATGATTTTTCTATTGTTTAGAGAAAAAGTGAAGTAATTGCTATGGTTCAGATTTCAAATTCTTATCGCCAGATACTTTCTTAGGTATTGGGATTATATTTATCCTTCTCCATATTTTCGGTATCAGATTAGTTGAGAAAGATTTACTAAAGACGCTCATGAATGGATAGCATAGAACATCGGAACATTTAAAAAAAAGAGGTTTGGGATTTCGTAAGGTCCTAAACACTGGGACGAGTTAAGTGACTGGATACATTTCCGGACATCAGTTTCAGTGAAAATCGGAACACAATTATTCTTCGAATCTGTATATATAGGAAGCACGACATCAGATGACTGATGTGCAAAAGACTTATTTAAGTCACACATTCAGCTGGTTATCACCTCTGTATCTCTCACCTGTAAGCTCTTTAAATAGTTTCCACATACTTGAAAATTTCTTAATAGATAAGAGTTTATAAGTAAACATAAGTTTCAGACATCTAATCTCTAGGTTTAATAGACCATTTAGTTTTCGAACTTCCATGGAGTTTTTCTGCTTGTACATTCCTTCCTTTACCCTCCGTAATCGTTTAAGTTGTACCAATGTAAGTCGATCAAAACTTACAAAAAGGATTTCAGTGCAACAACAAATATGAAAACAGAATTTAAGATAACAAGCGATAACATCAACAGTGTTTTCCAATGAGTTATCTGTAAATAATTCCCAGTTTTTCGTACATATTTTTCACATTTTAGACACTTTTTTAGTAACGTCTGCATACAACTTTCTTTGTTTGATGTAAGAGTTTACGCTTTCCAAGCTTGCTATATAATTTAGGTAGAATATGAATTATACAATGACCAAAACTAGACGATGAAGCACGTTTACGAGTCACACATATACCACATCATTAGTGAGAACTAAGTCTAAATAGGCGTCAAAACGAGTGTGAAATTCTACTACATTTTGGTGACCTAGTGATGAAAGAAAGCTACAGTCATATGAATTAAAATCATCGCATACAATTGAAAGTGAACCATTGAAGGCAGTAACAGCAAATTCAGTTAATTCATTGACGAAAACAGGTAGTGCAGGTGATATACAGTCCGAAGTCACGTAGATGTTGGTGACATAAACATAAGTGTATTTAACCAAGTGTTTTGGACAGCATTTCAAAATTACACAGTAGAAAAAGTCGTTCGAAAACTTCAAACACGCAAAGGTAGATCGACACCAGTTCACATTTACAAATGTAGCTACACCATCGTAAGACCTTGAAATCTTGTAGTGATACTAAGCAATAATCTTGTAAATCATTTAATCATGATTTTTGAACTGTGATTACACCACACTTACGATACATGTTTAGACTTAGCGGAAATTGAAGATAGTCCACCTTGCCAACTAGTGATCAGCAGTTAGAATTCAGTTTAGGAATCGACATCTGATTAATGTTTATTCTTGCCAATGCATATTACCAGTCACCGATATGTCTGTAATTGTACCTTTTTGTACCTTGTACAGAGATAGGTTGTAAACTCTTCATATACGCACCTGAATGGGTTATGCGATTAATAGATATAACAATGTATTAAAACAAAATAAAAAGATAACTTGTTGAAACATCTAGATGATTGGGACAGGTAGCCTAAATATTCAAGCAGGCCACCGTGTTTTGTGGGCCAATAGGAAAAAAAACTTGCTTGTAACCAATGTAATTTGAATAATTACCTATGTACCAAAAGCAATAGCTCTGGAGAATCAGTCACTTATCAAACTAAGTACTCGGTAAAATTAAAAAGCGAATTTTAAAAATATCTGTAGCTAAAGAAAAGGAATAAGTTAGAATAAATTTATCGTATTCTCTAAACATTATTGTTCTTACACTTAAGAAATCAAATGATACTTAAAATACATTAAGTACTCAATAGTGTTATTGTATTATTTAGGAAAAAAATTATAGACACATATCGCAAAAAGGATACTTACGAACGAAGTTTTTCACGGTAAGAATTCGAAAGAACGTTAACATGAACTTCTTCATTTGATTCAACGGGATTAAGATATCCTTTGTTGGAATTGGAATCCGACTGATTTGGACAACCTGGACATGATGGACCACCGTAGGAATTTCCAGCACGTTCACACTGATTGTTACATGCTGCCCGTAAAAGCAATTTATGTCGTAATGTCTGTGATTTAAAAGATATTTTATGTTATTCGAGGGGAAAAGTGTTAATACAAGAAAGGTATAAAGATACAGATTGAATAAAAATTAAAATAACACAATAAAATTATAAATGGAAAATTCTATCAGACGTTGGAGACTTTTAAAAAATTTTAATCAGAATATTTATTTTTAGATATAGATATTTGGAATTAAACATTCACGGGACGTGTGACACATGCAATGACAAAAATCGATAACTGTTCTTATCAAAACCATACTTTACTTTATATCTATTATTTAATTTCATAATAAGTTTTCGGATAATAAATTTTGATTATTCATTATTATTAGTACATTATTGTTATTCAGGTGTAAGTATTTCAAAATGGATCTTCTGAAATTTTTATCAAATGGTCTTCGTTGGGAGTTATCACATATATTTAGAAGTTGAACGGCAGGTTTATCAAGGATATAGCTCAATGTGATATTTGAAGCTGTTCATAAGTCATATATACAATTTAAATTGCACCTTCATGTATATCGAACAAAAGATTGAATCTGCATTCTTGCCATTGATGTATGCTATATTTCAGAGGCCGGTATCCAAGATCCCAGAAAAGTGCTGACGACTAACTGCTGATTCGAAATTTTACGTTTTTCTCCAAACTTGACAGATGCATTCCAAGTGGCGGCCGGAGTCAGACAAGGCTGCTTACTTTTATCCTTTCTCTTTCTTCTGGTGGTCGACTAGATTAGGAAGACCTCGATGTTTGAGCGAAAGCACAGAATACAACAGACAGCTCGGAATCAATTAGAAGATTTTCACTTCGTAGATGATTTAGCTCTTCTATCGCACACACTGACAAATACAGGTCAACACAACTAGTCTAGCAGCAGCCTCTGCATCTGTAGGCCTCAGTATGCACAAAGGATAAATCAAGATCCTCAAATACAAAATAGAGAACACCAACTCAATCACATTTGATGGAGAAGCTATGGAAGAGGTGGAATCCTTTATATACCTAGGAAGCACCATCAATAAACAGAGAGGATTTGATTTAGATATAAAGGTAAAGATTTTTAAAGCAAGGTTGGCGTTCATAAAACTGAAAAACGAGTGAAGCTAAAACAAGTGTCAACCAATATCAAAGTCACAATCTTTAATACGAACGTCAAGACAGTTCTACTGTACGGAGCTGAAACTTAGAGAACTCCTACAACCATCATCAAGAAGGTGCAAGTGTTTATAAATATTTTATTGATTTGAACACATAAATATTGGTGTAATGGGGCACCAAATGTATATGCGCCACACAAAATCTGATTTGTGTATAGGCTGTAATACTGCCCGGGTGCCCAGACCGAAGCAGGTGGTTTTCTTAGGGGGCCACACCCCGAGCCTTCGACCTAAAGGTCTAGTCCACAAGGCAATGGAGCATCGTGAGGAGATACAGTCCCATGGAAGCCGGTGACCAGGAAATTGGTTCATACGCCATTTGTTCCCGCAGGATACTGGAGCCCATGTGCACCATTCGCTTTCCATCCTCTCAATTTCGTGAACAACACCCCCGCCACGAGAAGGCAGTGAATAGGACTTCCCTGGCAGAGGCTATATACGCGTGGCCGTGTGAGAGCATTTCGAGAGGGAGGGCGGGTCCACCCCACTCTCGGCAATACCAGGGCATAATCCATGTCCATTGGTCGGATACCATCAACAACGTCCTACTGTGGAAGAGGACAAACCAGCTTCCAGATGAAGAGGAAATAAGGAATAGACGTTGGAAGTGGATAAGACATAAATCACGGAGATCACCAAACTGCATCACGAAGCAAGCGCTAACTTGGAATCCTGCAAGGAAACGGAAAAGAGAAATATCAAGGGACACTGCGTCGGGAATTACAAGCAGACATGAAAAGGATGAATAGCGACTGGAAAGGAGTGAGCAGGACAGAGTTGGATGGAGAGTGCTGGCGGGGAGTTTATACTCCTGTACGAAGGGTAACAGGCGTAAGTAACCTCTGAGGCGCGACTTCTGTTTGGAATAGTAAAAATCATTGTTCAGTCAGTGACATTCAATAGCTTTATAAACGTGAGGTTTTCGATGACCTTCACACTGCTTATTACTTAAAGATACCAGCCATTAGTGACGAAGACGAGGTGGATAATATGAAATCTGGTGCTATGAAATAAAGAACAGTTGTATTGAAGTAGCATCATTTTTCTGAAACGACTTCGCAGATATAGTCAGTGGGTTGAGATGTTACTAGACATGTTACCGCGTATTAACTAGAAGTGAGTCCAATGTGATTCTTATAATCAAAATGTTCTATTATCAGAAACATATCTCTTGTTAGTTTTTCTTTATTACAATGTCTATTATCACGAAATATTCCTCCGTAAATCAATACTTCCCTAATACCCTGCGTCTAACCTCACTATTACTTACCCGGTGATCCCAGCAGATACCCGCAATATTTCTAAGGCACCTGTGGTCAAATACTAGTAACTTACGAATATCTTCCACTCTTAAAGGCCATGTTTCGCAGCCGTATAGAAGGACGGAACGAACTGCCGCGCAGTATACTCGTCCCTTAATTGATAGACGAATATCTCGCCTTCGCCATAGATGATGTAAGTTGGCAAAGGCCAAGCGAGCTTTTCGAATCCGTGCTGAGATTTCGTCAGACACCAACCCATTAGGGCTGATCAGACTTCCAAGATAAGTGAAGTTGTCAACGCGTTCGACTACTTCACCCCCTATCCTTAGTTCAGGTGTTGATGCAGACCAGTCCTGAAGCAACAACTTGCATTTAGAGGGAGAAAAGCGCATCCCAAACAATCGGGCATTGTTGCTCAGTGCTAACAAAAGACTCTGCATTTCGTCAGCGTCTTCACCAAACAGGACTATGTCATCTGCGTATTCCAAGTCAATAAGTGGACCTCCTGGTAGGAGATCAATACCCGAGAATTCAGTCGATGAGAGCGTTATTTCCATCAGGATGTCTATGATAAAGTTAAACAAAAAAGGAGAAAGTGGACAGCCTTGACGGACCCCACTTGAGGTTGCAAAAGAGAATGACAGTTCGCCATAGGCTCTGACCCGACTAGTAGTGTTCGAGTAAAGAGCCTTCACAAGGTTTATGTACTTCTGAGGTACGCCTTTCAATGACAGACACTGCCACAGAACCTCTCGGTCAACAGAGTCAAACGCTGCTTTTAAGTCAAGGAAGACCACTATTGTCGGACGCCGATAAGTATGCCTGTGTTGTAGAACCTAACGAATGGTGAATATGTGGTCGATGCAGCCACGACCAGGTCTGAAGCCAGCCTGATTTTCACGTGTTTGCAGTTCACGAGTCTTAGTTAGGCGTCCGAAAATTATCGAAGCTAGTATTTTAGATACTATATTAGTCAAACTAATCCCTCTGTGGTTGTCACAGGATGATTTTAACCCTTTCTTAAATATTGGGACGATAAGTGATTGTGACCAGTTAGATGGAATAACGTCTAACTCCCAGATTTTAGCTAAAATATTAGTCAACCTAGTCGCTAAAACTAGACCACCATCCTTAAAGACCTCTGGGGCCAATCCATCTGGACCAGATGCCCTTCCTCGTTTCAGACTAACTATAGCCTTTTGAACTTCAGTTAGAGATGGGGGACCTACTTCAATGTTCCATTCACACTGTCTGGGAATAGTAGTTGTAGAGTAGCTGAAGGCCAGCTAAACTGCTCCTTAAAGTGTTCCGCCCATCGTTCTAAGCGTCTGGACTGGGAGCAGATGAGAGTGTCGTCTCTATCCGAAATGGTCTGACTTACACTTGATTTATTAATTCCAGTTTCTTTTATTAGTCTGTAGAGTTGTCTTGTGTTCCCTATAGCCGCCGCCTTTTCCATCTCTTTTGCTTTCGTTGCCCACCACTGCTCACGATCATTCCTTAGACTTTTGCTTAATCTAGATTTGATTTCTTTACGCTCTTCATCGTATTCAAGACCTGATGGGATGAGTTTGCGAGAATCTATCAAAACAATAGACCTTGACGAAATCCATTGGTTCTTTGTAACCCTGTGGTTTAACTCACTGGTAGATGTCAATGCTGTTTCCACAGCTGCTTGTATAACTTTCCAAGCAACATCTGGGTCAGTCTCGTTTTCAGAACCACCTAAGTGTGACTCTTGGTGACATGGCTCAGAATCGATCACAATGGCGTCGGTGTATACACTCTCTGTCTTCCTTAAATTAAGAGATTAAAATCGCTTCATATCTTTCGACGTACTAAATCTTTCTTCCTGTACTATCTCCTTATACACAATCTTTCTTCTATATATTACCACCACTGAATTAACTACTTCTATGAATCCGGTGTTCATCTTGTTGTGCTAATGCGGTATGGCAACTTGGACCGATGCATATACGTGCCTGGTCCTACGTTGCAGCTGACTGACTGACTGACTTCTATATATTGACACCACTGAATTAACTACTTCTATGATTCCGGTGTTCATCTTCTCGTGCTAATGAGGTATGGCAACTTGGACCGATGCATATACGTGCCTGGTCCTACGTTGCAGTCGACCGACTGACTTCACAAAACCGCTATTCCAGTTCATCAAGTGCGATTGTAACATCTCGTACACCAAGCTTCGTGCACAACCGTTGCAGCTAAGTTGACGTGGTGGTCGAGCTTGTCTATCGCGATGGAACAATCAAGCTACACAGGCTGGAACGATAGTTCCTCAAGGTCTTACCATGCCAGACAGGTTGGCCGAAGAGCGGTAAGACTAAAGGCAGCTAACCCAAGGTCTGAAGGCGAAGCCGTACGGCCGACTGTACAGAGGTGTGACGGTAATAAAGTGTTTCCTTCAGACAACCAGCATAACAGCGATGCTGCCTTCTCACAAGAGTGGGGTTTTGAAAAGGTTGACCCTAAAAATGCACATCTTGCCTTATCCCAAGGATTTTTCATCTCAGACAGTAAGGTCTCAACAAGTACGGAGTAAACACGGAAATTACTCACAAAAACGTCGTGTGTGATCGACCTCAAGCAGTCGTCCTTTCGTCCCTGCGATCACGCATTCAGGTCACTAAGACCAACTCTAACCCAATTTCCTCTTCAGGTACTTCTAGAAGAACCCTTCCACGGTGTGGCCGACCGGGAAGTGATAACCGCTCTCATACTCCTAACAACACTCAAGATCACTTCTAACAGCTTGTGTGTTATAAACAATTAATTATAGCATAACGTGACTTCCAGGAACAACCTGCATGGATCTTGGGTAGGTAATATCTACTACTGGAATTAAAGAGATAAATACCATAACTTCGTCATAATAAAACTAATAACTGTTATATTCAGAGACAGGTCAAATTAACAGACGTCAGCACATAAACCAAATAACAACTTACTTCTAGGGCCTCATATATGACAGCGAATATGAAAGAGCCAAGACATGCTACAATCGCCTCTATAAGTTAAGAGTATGGTTTTAAGAAAAACATCATTTACTTCCAACTGTATCGATAATCCAGGATGAAAACAACAATGTATAATGCATATCAGTATTGAAATACATCTATAAATCATTTTGTATGATGGAAATGAGTAATACTTTCATGTCCATGGAATGATCGCTTGACTGCATACCAGCATGGGCCGGTGAATGATGAGAACCGTGGGCATGATCCATTCTTTTGGTTAGGTGTGTTTTCAGATCAGGAGGATAGAAAACGTTCGTATTGGAAATGCCTTTAAAATAAAAACGAGGACATTTGGTTGAAAACAACATGGAATTAATTGATTGTTTTCTGATTCATTAAATGCCAAACATGTGGAAGATAACATATAAGGATATGAGTAAAAACTGACATAGCAGTACATTGAGAGGTAACGGCTAAAAAAGCTCCATGCGATTTATAGTCCAATGGGATTACGTCCAGTTCCCAGATTCTACCTAAGAGCTCAGTCAATTTAACACTGGACCTCCATCCTTAAAAAACTCAGGGGAAGCGGTTCAGTTAGCAAAGGTACGACCAGAAAGGATTCTTCCAGTTAAAGAAACTACATCCATTTTTATGAAGAAAGTAAAAGAAGGTTACAACAGGATTGCCACCGGCTTCTATTCTGAACCACTGTGTTGCACCATCTCTAGGACCCCAGCTAGGGAGTCGTGAAGGACCGACACAAGCTAGCCCATTGCAGCTTTCTTTCATACCACGACACCATGTCATACACTGACCACCTCTCCGCTTATCCAACCAGTCCCAGTGTCGGCAAATATTGCACGACGAGGAATTCTCTGGGACGACATTCGTAGAACATGTCCAAGCCACCGAAGTCGGTGTTTCAAGATGGTGACACCAATTGGATTGTCGTCTCTGTGCCCGAACACATGATGCCGGACCTCTGCATACTCAACTCGGAGAGGCCAGGTTTCACAAGCAAAGAGCAAAACTGCTCTCACTGACGCGTTGTAGATCCGACCTTTTACAGCCAGACGATTAACGTCACGAAGGAGCCAAAGATGGACGAGATTGGCATAAGCCGCTCTGGCTTTCACTATACGCGCATTGATTTCATCACTCATCATCATCATCCTTGACAAGTTTGAACAGTTGTCTACTGTTACCTATTGCCACTGCCTTTTCCATCTCTCTTGCTTTCGCTACCCACCACTGTTTGCGATCGCTGAGTAGACTTTTTATTAGCCGGCGCTTTAGCTGACTCCGCTCTTCGTCATGTTCACAGCCAGATGGGATGAGTTTCCGAGTATCTATCAGTGCGGTAGATGCTGCTGAGATTTAGTATTTCTCCCCAACTTTATGGTTTACCTTACTAACAGATATCACTGCTGTTTTCATAGCTTTTCGGATATCATTCTAAGCTGCCTCGGGGCGGACATCACTTACATGGCTGACCAACTTTTTCTAGTTCGTGAATATATTCTTAGCCTGGCTATCATTAAGTAGAACCCTAAGATGTTTCCTTGCAGTCTTTCCTAAGCTCAGTAAGACGCAGAAAAATACGCGCTCACACTAGAGCATGATCTGAATCTAAGCATGTGCTCCAGAACGAGCGACAGCCTTCTATTGATCCCCTCCATCGGTGGCTGATAGCGATGTGATCTATTTGGCTCAAACGTTGGGACGAATTCGAGGGTCCCCATATCAAAAGATGTTTTTCCTTGTGCTTAAAGTTAGTATTTGCTAGAAACAAGCAGTTATCTGAGCATAGCTGCACCAAACTGTCGCCATTACCTGTTCTTTGAGCCACGACAACGTTAGATCCACCCAGGTGTCTTTCCCTAGCTAAGGAAGCCTGTTGTCCTATTTGGCTCAGTGTTCGGATGTTAAAAGCTCCTATATGTACTTTAGAGAGTGATTACAGGGGATTATCGTGACCAATGATTGGAGACTCGGTGACATGGCTCAGAATCGATTACAGTGGTGTGGATGTATACACTATTGGCTTCCCTTAAATGGTGGGATTAAAATCACTCTATACCTTCCTTTCTAATTCTTTCTTTCTGTAGTATATCCCTATACACAATCTATTTCATATATTACCATAATTGAATTAACTGCTTTGAATTTGTTCATCTTGTTGTGCTATTGAAGTATGGTAACTTGGACCGATGAATGTATGTACATGGTCCTACGTTGTAGCTGACTGAGTTCATACAGAAATAAGCTACTACTACAACAACCGCCATCAAGAAGGTACAAGTATTTATCAATAGCTGTCTACGCAAGATACTCAACATCCATTGGACGGATACCATCAGCAACAGCCTTCTGTGGAAGAGAACCAACCAGCTTCCAGCTGAATAGGAAATTAGGAAAAGACGATGGAAATGGGTAGGACATACATTGAGGAAGTCATCAAACTGCATCACGAGGCGAGCCATAACTTGGAATCCTGAAGGGAAGCGGAAAAGAGGAAGACCAAAGAACACATTACGTCGGGAAATAGAAGCGGATATGAAAAGGATGAATAACTGGAAAGAGCTGGAAAGGATTGCCCAGGACAGGGTTGGATGGAGAATTCTGGTGAGCGGCCTATGCTCCTTCGCGGGGAGTAGCGGGCGTAAGTAAGGCCACAATAGACAACTGTTCATATTTACAAAGAAAATGAGTATTAGAAATATGGCTGTTAGTGAGACCATCTCGAAAAAAGACGGGACTGTTATTCTCTCTCAATCCAGGAAATCGAACCGATGGGTAGAACACTTTAGGGGCGATTCAACTAGCCTTCAACCACACTTCGGTCACTCACCACTACACAGAAAACCGAAAGGCGAACTGATATAAATCCCCCAACTGGGTACCTGGAGCAGTATCACAACCCACACACAAATCAAGCGATTTGTGTAGCGCATCTGTATTCGGGGCTTTTTTGTACTAATATTTGTGTTCAAATAAATAAATAATAAATAAAATAGTGAGGTTAAAAAGACCATAAGCAACTCAAAGCGAGGGAGCGCATTGGGGCTTGGTGGAACAATAACTGGGATTTCTAGGAATGGTGATCTAGTTATAGCAAATAGATTAACTGCTTTTATTACTAACACCCGTTACCGCTCGTGGAGGAGATATGTCGATGAGACTATAATTTATGGACGACCTTTGAGAGACGCTAAAGTGACCTTGAAGGTGAGCACCAACTGATTAGGACTGCATGAATTCTCATTAACAGTTGATGGTTACGGCTAAAAATTAGATTTAAGGTTTTCATCAAGAACTGACATCAACTATAATACCGAAACTGTATTTAAGCAAATGCATGGATGGATTTCGCGCAAAAATTTGTGACTCATTATCTTGTATCTGGTTAGTTTGTCCATAAATTATAGTCTCGTCCAACTGTTCTTTACTTCATAGCACCATATATCATATCAGCCACCTCGTCTTCGTCACTTATGGCCGGTATCATTAAGTAATTAGCAGTGTGACGGTCATCAAAAAGCTCAAATTTATAACGAATTTCAGGTAACTGTGAGGCTATCCTGAAAATCATAAAAACTGTGATTAGAGCTTTCTGAACAGTGCTTGACTGATAGTTACTTCCCTGGTCAAATCACTGATGCTGTGCGCGCATGCCCAAGCTCCCAATATTAGGGAAATTCCCCAATATTGGGGAAATATATATTTCCCCGAAATTCCCCTTTAACCTTGGTCAAGGTTATTTGACTTTGGGGATTTCCCCGAAATTTCCCCAAAGTTAACTTTGGTAGCTCGGGTAAAAATACATCCTTCATCAAAGAAGCAAAATAACCTATTGACTCGAAGATAATAAGCCTCAAATGTAACAAATTTTTATTATGAAAAGATTTTTTAAGGACCAACCCCAACCAAAATAAGGTCAAATAGAAACTCACGACAGTTGCTTTCGTGAAGTTCTAGTGGCCTTCGCTTTTCATGTTCCGCACTATATTAAATGGTTCAAATGGTTGTGGACGGAATAGAAGAAGCTTTAGCTTAACAGGCTTCCGTGTCTAGTAGCAGGGGATCACAAATACCTCTAGGCAAGAACCTAGGTATGTAAGCGATAAAAGTGAAAAAAATAAATTGGTAAATCATAGTAAGATACTATCCTTAGTCCTTAAGAATAGATCAAGTCGCTTCTTGAAGGACTCCTGTGAAGGCGCTTAGACTAGTTCAGCCAGCAGCGAATTCCAGCATTTGACAACTCTTAAGGATTAGTAATTGTGCCTGAAGTCCGTTCTACTATGTTGTATCTCTAATTTCTGGGTGTTACCCCTTAGGTTAGCATTGGGACTAAACTTAAGTAGGTGTTTAAGAGGATGTCCAGAAGTGTTAAGGATACTGTAAGTCATTAGAAGGTCACCTCTAAGACTCTTATACTCTAATGGGTAAAGTTTGAGTGATTGGAGGCGCTCTTCGTAATGTTTAAATTTGAGTCCACGAACTGATTTCGTGGCTCGCCGTTGAATACGCTCCACAGTGTCCTTATCTTTTTGGAGTGTAGAGGGGAATACTATGTTTCCGTGCTCTAAATGGGGACGAATGAAACTATGGAAGATTATGTGGAAAGTTTTCCGTCAAACTGACCAAAAATGTGCTTCAATGTTACCAATTCAAGGTTTGCTCGAAAGGCATTTCTGTCACAGTTGGCGTAAGACATTAAGTCATAGGGCACCAGAACTCCTAAATCTTTTTCGACTCGGGATACTACTAGAGAGGAGTTTCCTAAGTTGTAACTGTAATCTGCGACGTGTCACAGATGGACTGCTTTACACTTTGTAGTGTTAAAGGTAAGTCCGTTGTCGTCTGCCCAACTTTGAAGTCGAGTCAGATCCTCCTGAAATGCTTGTATGTCCTCTTGGTTGCGTATCTCTTTCCAAAGTTTCAAGTCATCGGAAAAGAGCAATATGTCTGACGTTACCTGTTGAGGAAGATCATTTATATAAATCAGGAAGAGAAGAGGTCCTAGTACTGAGCCCTGGAGGACCCTACTAGGACATTCCATAGCCTGTGATAAACTGAAGTTTACCACGACCTTAAAATGTCGATTTGTTAGATGTGAACTGAGTCAGTCAATTAAAGGTGGTTCGATACCCAATTATCTGAGCTTATTGATAAGACATATGTGATTAACCCTTTCAAAAGCTTTAGAGAAATCAAGGTAAATGATGTCCACCTTCCCCTTGCGATCGAGGATGCTTGTCCATCTGTCCACTGCAGTCAGCGGGTTCGTCATACAGGAGTAGCCCTTCCTGAAACCATGCTGTTTGGGTGAGAAGAAATTTAAGGACAGCAGATAGTCGTGTATACCATCGTATACCAGGGACTCCATGATCTTTGAAGGTACAGAGAGAAGAGCCACCGGTCAGTAACTTAAGGTTTCGCTGCGTTGACCTCCTTTGAAAATTGTTGTGATATGAGCCAGCTTCTAAGTATCCGGTAGTTTACCTCGACTTAGCGAGTGTGAGAACATCACACTAAGCGGTGTTGCCAGGGTTGAAGCTGCTTCCCTCAGTATAGCAGAATGAACCATATCTCGGCCAGGAGAAGTGTCTGTTCTTGGATGCTGCAATTTTCGGAACACCAAGTCAGCGCTCAGGTTCACTTCGGAAAGTCCTATGCAGTTGCAGATGAAGCTGTCATCAGTATAGTTGATGTGGGTCGATTGAAATGTCCGGGAATATTGCTTAGCCGAAAGGTTAGCGGCGTCTCCGTCATTATCGGTCGGGCCGTTAGGACCTAGCAGTTGAGAAACTCCAGTTTTGGCTTGACGAAGAGAGGCTGCGTAACGGAATAAGCTTTTCGGAGTGGAAATAAATTTATTTATAAGCTTTATCTGGTACTGAGGCCTGTCTTCTCTTATAGCCTTCGTGCATATTTTCCTTGTATGTTTGTATTGCCTGTACGTGCTATTGTTGTCAGTTCGTTTGTATTCTGCCCAACAGTGCCTTTTGCGGCTTAACAAATGAGGAGTGCGATTCTTGATGATTGTAGGTTGCTTGTGGCTTTTGGGGACCGTTTGAGGAACTGACTGCTGTGTAGCACATAAGAGCGTGTGCAGTAAGAAGTCCTAATGAGCATCCACATCAAGTTGAGGGTGAACATTCCGATCCACCTGTTGTAGATAATCCTGTAGAGCTGACTCATTCAACCGTTTGAAATTCCTGCGCCTGTTGTTGTTGGGATATCTTAGCTCAATTTTGCTGACAAAACTGAAGGCTATAACGGCGTGATCGCTTTTCCCCAGAAGAGCCAGAATTCAGATGTTGTCAATTAGAGATTTTTCGTTTGTAAAAGCACAGTATAAGTGCGACGGTGTCTGACTGTTCCTCCAACGAGTTGCCGACTTCATATTTTCGTATAATTCTAAACCCTCAATGAGGTTGAAGAACCGAGCTTCAATTGAATTTTCACCTCCAACTTACGTATGTTCCGCGAAGTTGACTCCAGGAAGATTGAAGTTCCCTAGAATCAGGATATGAGTGAAACCGAGACGCGTAGAGCGGGATAGTTCTTCCAGCATACGACTGTCATACTCGATGTCGTCAGTGAGCTTCCTACATATGACTCTGACTAGGCACTAAAGTAACAAATCTAGATTCAGATTTATGTAATAGGGACAGAAGACCTACCGCCCATGTAGTTCTTCTTTTAATGTGCTTCTATGAGCTTCTAATCTTCTCTTTGATGAGTCAATTGAAGGTGCGGACACCGCTGCTTCGGGTAACAGGTTCCGAGAATTGTTTAGTCGGTGTGGAAACATGTATTTCATGGGTATTTTTTGTTTGTTCTTGGCTTTTCTATTTGCATTCTATGTCCTCCGAGATGTCTAGATCTAGAGGAAAGAAAAAGAGAGGATTTATTGGGTCCGAAACCATTGTTTAACATTCTATGCAACAAAATCGGATCACCTCTTGATCTGAGATAAGACAGAGTTAAGAAGTCTAGCTTCTCTAGCAGCTCTTTGTATTATGAACCCCGTAGTCCTGGAATGGAGCGGATAGCTGCCCTCTGTGCTTTCTCTATGATGTCCGAGTAACCTTCTAAACAGGGCCTTGCAGTCTGAATTCACTTTCAAGCTTGGTTATCACCTGGATTTTGTATACTGTAGTGAACATGGTAATATATAGCTTGGTAAATATCCGCCTTAGAGCCCACAAGGTTCTGAACCCATTAGCCACAAGCTTCTGGCAGTGGGTCGTGGTCTTGACTCACCGTCACCTTAACATCCTTGTGAGACTGAACCACAGGTACAGGCACTTCACCTATGCTGCATCTTATTACCTTTGTCTCCTCAATGTGCATGTAGATACGCTGCAGAGTTGATAGGCATCAGCCACTCTTTAGACCAGCTAATCACAATATTTAAGTCTGCCTGAAGTGCGCATGCATCCGCGTCTCCTATTATTTCTCGACATATTTTCACACCATCAGCGTATAATAATATTGGGGAATGGACTATACTTGAGAGATCATCTACACACCGTAAAAAAGTAAAAGACCTAGGACAGAACCTTGCGGCACTCCACTAAGTACTGGTCTCCAGGCTGAGCACTTTGAATTTACTCTTACTTTCCGTCTACCACCTACTAGGAAATCTTTAAGCCATTTTTGGATAGATCGGGCAATGCCAATATTTTCTAGCTTCAATAGTAGTCTATTTGTTGGTACCTTGTCAAATGCTTTACTAAAATCTATGTAAACAACATCCACTGATTTTCCATTGTCTAAAGCCTTTATCCATTGGTTTATCCAGAAGTTTAATATGTAGGACAAACCTTTTCTGAAACCATGTTGTTACCTGTTTAACAGGTTTTTAGCTCCTACGAATGTCATTGTAGGGTATTCGACTGTTCTTTCAAGTAGTTTAGTTACGACACTGGTGTCTGACAGGTCTGTAGTTTGACGAAAGTCGTCTTGGTCCTACTTAATATATTGGAGTGACGATTCCATCCTTCCATTCCGAAGGTGACACACCTTGATCAAGTGAAGTATTGAATATCACAGTTAGTGGGGCTGCCATATATTGTACATTTCGTCTCAGGATTTTAAAGAGTAGTTCATCTCATCCCATTGGGTTCTCAGTGCCGGAAGTGCTTAGAGCTTAAGTACATCGTCTCTTAGGAAATCCACAATGAGAAGACGAGTTGTTGACTTCATATTTGGGTTCAGTTTTTCGTTTAGAAGCAGCTCCTGAGTGAAAGTTGAAACACAATAGTTTGGCAGATCCTCCGCTTTTTCCTGATTATCCTCTATCAATTGGGATCTTTTTCTTCCATATTTAGGTTGGGAATCTATTACTGTATCCATGTTCTGTAAGTTATGTACGAGAATATCTTTTAGACTACTTGATTACAGATTAGTCCTGTTGTTTTTCATACATTTGCTGGGCCTCTCAGATTGGATTTATACACTTAATTCGAAACGATCTGTGGCGTTTCTTAGTACTTTCTGTTCCAAGGCCTACGTCGATGTTCCAACATTTTTATTTTTGTCTTAGTAAATGTTAAATATCTCCTTCTGTCCAGGGATGGCCGTACTTCTTTTTCTTTTTTTGGTGCTTTTACGGGTATGATAGGGTGAGTTGCTAATAAACAGGAAATTGTAGGATTATTCCAAACGACTATCGTTATTTCACAACATTGTAAACTACTAACATAGATGATTTATGCCGAATGATTATGAGCCTGCTCGAGTTAGACGAGAACGGTGTGAATAAAAGTCAACTTCGAAGTTACTCTTCTAAGTCACCACCTAACGTGGACTACTCCTTTGACGTATCATGGTTCTATGTCTGCTTTGAAAACTGTCTGACACAAAGGACGTTATTAAGGAAATACACTGAAAAGAATGAGCACAGAGAAGATTTCGAGAGCACCACCGAATGGTAAGTCCGTGGTATATGATTAGCCGATGCATGTTGGTTGTCCTTGATCTTGAGAAGGATCGATGATCTGTTCAACATTCAGTGACCCAACAGTCGGACGATTTGGCTAGAGCTCAGTGACATTTCACTGGCCTTACACTAATTGAGACACCACATATTTGATTGAAATAGTATTCTTTTACAACTGGAATGAGACATACGAAAAAAGTCGGAATCCACTAAATCTCGTTGTTTTGAAAACAAAAGTACCGAAAGAACTCAGACCTGACTGATTACAGTATTCACGACATTCAGTTAGTAAGTGATTCGAACATGCGAGTGTTCTCAAAAGTCCTGAAAGTTAATACATTCGCTAAGTTCATGTGCGGAGAAAGAAGCACTCAGACCAACAGGAAATAACATAGGCTATCCAGCCATTACTCAGACTCCAGGCTTCAGAAGAAATCTACTGTGTAAAGTTTTCTCATAAGTGTTCAAATATATGTTAGAGTTTTCAGAATTATTACCATCATGTGGCATGTCCTACCCAGTCTAAAAACGACTGTAGATCTGTAGCGGCTGCTTGATTTGAAATAGGCAGTGCCACCAAAACACTTGTTTTATATTTTATCACCACCAAGATACTGGTTGTCGAAATTAATGTTTTATATCTTCATTCTCCTCAGAATACATTACAAAGATTATTAGAAGCATGAATAAAATGAAGATGTCAAAGGTATTCGGAGTTTGACAACGCTTTAATCAGTAACACCTTCTAATATGAAGCGTACCCACCAAGTGAAATCAAAAGACAGAAGTGAGGAGGTTCGAAGATATATTTGATAAGCTATCAATATATCAACGATCGTCTGAACTAATCTGGCTAGCGATTGCAGTAGATGTTGAGCACGGCGTTCTCACATGTGATCTGGTGCGGATGCATGATCGAGCGCCTTCTGCTTGATGAGTCCATTAAAACTAATGTGGTCAGCATTCGATGTCGAAAACTTACAAAGCTATTTATTTTGGGGATTTACTTACCGCTACAACAACAACTACCTTCTAAAATCTAAACACATATTCTAATAATTAACCAATTCACACTTCTTTTTAAGTTTGAAAAGGTGTTTGACGGACTCAGACCACAATTAAAAATACAGTTTATTGTGTCATCATCTTTTTACTTTGAAGACTAGACAATCATGTGAAAAACAATTGGTTAGGAATTGTAGATATAGTCCGAAACGGTTATTCTCGTATATAAAAGAGCGAACTCAGAGAAGTGATGGAATTCCATCACGTTTGATACAAGAAAATCCGTTAATCTTGGAAGAAAATGATACCGAAAGGGCTGAAGATTTATCGGAATATTTCAGTAAAGTGTTTTCTATCACTAATGAGGAACGACCAACGATTCATTATGATCGTGACTGCTCGCTGATGGATCCTGTGGTCATTGAGAAAGATACTGTATTAAGACTACTTCAGCATATGAAACCTGATAAGTTCAGTGGTCCTGATAATATTCATCCTAGGATTATGAGAGCAATATCAGATGTAATTGCTGAACCATTAGCGATACTGTTTGACATGTCTCTGAGGCAGTCCAAACTGCACAAAGACTGGAAAGACGCTATAATAAGTCCGGTGTATAAGGCTGGCAGTAGGGATTTATTTAGTAACTATAGACCCGTAAGCTTAACTAGTGCAGTTGTAAAACTGATGGAAAAAATCATCCGGATATCTGCTGTAAACTATGTTGAAAGGCATAATCTTTTCTCCAGGGAACAACATGGTTTTCGGAGAGACCTATCGTGCTTGACAAATCTTCTCATTGCAAGAGAAGATTGGACTGCTGCAAAAGATCAGAATATTCCTGTAGATGTGATCTTCATAGACCTAACTAAGACTTTCGATAAGGTCTCCCATTGTGGTCTTAAATTCAAACTGGGACGCTTCGGAATCCATTATACAGTCGTAGATTGGATAAGTAACTTTCTCCATGACAGGAGACAAAGGGTAAGGGTTGATGGGGCTCTTTCCTCGTGGATACCTGTAAAAATTGGAGTTTCCCAAGGTACAATCCTTGGTCCTCTTCTCTTTTTACTTTATGTAAATGAATTACCAACTGTAGCAAAATCATCGGTTCTATCATTCACTGATGACATAAAAATTTGGAGACCCATACACAGTATGTCGGATAGAATAGTATTACAGAATGATCTTAGCTCATTGGTGGCACGGTTAGACGGGTGGTCACTCGAAGTAAATTTTAATAAGAGTGTGGTGATGCAATTAAATAACAATGATGAATCGTATCACTATACAATATGTGGATTCGTACTTCCCAAAGTAAGAAACTATAAAAATTTGGGAGTCATCTTAAGTAGCGATCTCAAAACCACTAGTCACTGTAAGGCTGCTGCTGCGAAAGGCTATAGGGTGTTATGGTCTATTCACAGGTCTTCTCAGTATTTATATGATGAAACGTTTAGATTACTATACACGATTTACGTGCGACCACATTTAGAATATGGGATTCAAGCAGCAAGTCCTTGTTTCAAGTGTGAAGCAGATATGCTAGAGCGAGTCCAACGACGAAGTACTAAGATGGTACAAGGTCTATATGGACTATCTTACGGAGACAGATTGAGACACCTCAACTTATTTCCGTTATCTTACCGTAGAATACGGGGTGATCCAATATTGGCTTATCGTATACTGAACGATGACCTTTGTATTAACATGTCTCATCTTTTACTTCCGTCTAAAACTGATCGTTTGAGAGGACACTCGAAAAAATTCAAAAACCGAGATCAAATCGTTTACGTCTGGAGTTTCGTTTCTCTCATCGAGTAGTGAATTATTGGAATTCTCTAACGGAACACGTAATATCAGCACCTTCTGTTGATATATTCAAGACGAGATTGAACCTCCACAGTATTACAAACTGCAAGGACTAATACAGGTCGATAGACCTCTTATCCTTATTACTGAAGACTGAATAGTTTTTCTAGACCGTGTTACAGCGGTGAATCTACTTTGAAGGTCATTGATTCTCTAAAAGAGGTTAGAACATTATTCAAAACTAGTTAGGGGTAATCTAAATTAATGCCTGCAGTTATCTGTTTATTATATTCAACGCTCCTCTCCATTAAAAAACCCACTTTATCGAGCAATGGATTCTCGAGGGACTAGTAGCTAACGGGTTAATTTCAGCTTTTCACAGTAGATTGTTTCTACATTAATTCACTACCTGGTACGACAGTTTATTTGAACCAAATTTACTTAATATCCATCTGCTCAGAGGTTTAATAACGTTTAGAAGGACGTATTTGATGTACAATCTGCACTAGATTGTCGATAGCTTCTAGGTTAATTTACCACTTGCAAGTATAAAACGGCAGTTAACCTATATTCTCCGAATATATAGCATCAAGGCAATTTAATTTCACCTCGAGCATATCAACATAAAATGCAGACGCTGTGTCCTGGTAGAATCGTTAAAATATCAGTACCTGATAAACGAGTTCCAAAGCGTTGATTTTAAATCTGGAACTGAACCCTCCGAAAGCTTTTTTTAGATTTACGAATAATAAGCCCTACGGAGTTATGGCACGATCTACTATAATTATGTTGATTAAGCACTCATTGAAAACCTTCACTGTTTCATCGCCGAACTTCTGACAGTGCTTTCCTCTGTTTATTGTCTTCTAAGTGAAAGATAGTCTCACATGAGTGTCACTTTTATCATTCGTTTAAATTATCAGTTTATTTGAAGTTATCTGCATAGATATTAAACAACACTAACTTGTGTCGTAATGGGCTATATCAAAGCAATCTGTATACACGTCAAATGAGACTGGTCAAAATTAATTTTTAAGATGTCAGCATTCTATTGCCAATGCTTATCACTTATTTAATACTTACTCCTAAAGTGTCGGATGCAATGCTTCGATTTAGTACTCTAACAATCTCCAAATTATCTGGGTGTCTGTTTTCGGGTTTAAACTACTTACAATAAAATTGAAATTACAAGTCATCGAGGTTTATGTTGATGTAAGCTACCTTTAATGATCCTAATTTGACTGGGAAATTCTCGGCAAGGGTTTTTCTGACGCAATTTGTCATAATCTCTACTTGTTCTACATGGTCTTTCAAGGCCGAAAATATTCAGTTACTGATACATCCGAAGAATATAATTACTGATTTTATTGTGCTTACTTCTATTTCAGTAGTGACTACCTGGTGTTTTGAGACAAAGTATATCTAATTGCGATCTAAAAGTATATGCATAAGAATATGGAAAATGATGAAGTTGTACTTACTGATAGCACGAAAAAAATTAAAGCTATAATCTTAATTGGTGGTCCATGTAAAGGTAATAATTGACATTTCGATTACTTTTTCGTATAAAGGGACTCGCTTTAGGCCACTTTCATTGGAGTTGCCTAAACCACTTTTTCCAATAGCTGGGTTTCCAGTTGTATACCACCATATTGAAGCCTTTTCCAAGGTAATCATTAGAATTCCATATTGTAATTTAGTTACCGGGATTGAGAGAAATCATTCTTTTGGGATTTTACCAACCAAATGAGGCTCTCAACCAGCTTATTTCAAATGCGCAGCACGAGTTCAAGGTTTCTGTTAGGTACGTTTGTTAATTTTCTGTTATTTTTCTTTTTTCTGGATACCTGCGTACAGGATTTAATTCGTCCTACAGGTATTCTACTAGAACTGTAAACGTAATACTTTTATTTATTTATTTATTTGAAAACATAAATATTGGTACAAGGGGCACCAAATATATATGCGCCACACAAAACAATGAGAATTTAAAGAGAAGAGAAAAAAGGTACGGAGCGTCAAAAAAAGTACGTTAACGAACAGATTAGTGTAAGGTAGTGTAATAGTAATAATAATGGGGGAAACGAAAAGGTACAATCAGAGGAAATCTTAAGGAAGAAGCAACCACTCTTTACGAAGAAAGTAAAAGAAGGTTACAACAGGATTGCCACTGGCTTCTATTCTGAACCATATCTGATAACGTCTCTAGCCACTGTGTTGCACCATCTCTAGGACCCCAGCTAGGGAGTCGTGAAGGACCGACACAAGCTAGCCCATTGCAGCTTTCTTTCATACCACGACACCATGTCATATACTGGCCACCTCTCCGCTTTTTCTAACCAGTCCCAGAGTCGGCAAATAATGCACGACGTGGAATTCTCTGGGACGACATTCGTAGAACATGTCCAAGCCACCGAAGTCGGTGTTTCAAGATGGTGACACCAATTGGATTGTCGTCTCTGTGCCCGAACACATGATGCTGAACCTCTGCATTATTAACATGGTGTTGTCACTGGATGCCAGCGATCCTTCGGAGAGAGCGATGATCGAACACAGAGAGTTGTCTAACATCCTCAGCCCGGAGAGGCCAGGTTTCACAAGCAAAGAGCAAAACTGCTCTCACCGACGCGTTGTAGATCCGACCATTTGCAGCCAGACGATTAACATCACGAAGGCGCCAAAGATGGACGAGATTGGCATAAGCCGCTCTGGCTTTCACTATAAGTGCATTGATCTCATCACTCACGCCACCACCAGCACTTATGCAGCTACCCAGATACACAAACTTCTCGACTACTTCTATCTGCTCATCATCCAGAGTGAATACAGGATTAAAATCCTACCAGTCTTGTCAAAGTACTTTGCACTTCGAAGGTGCAAAGCACATACTGTACCTACGGACACTGATTGCCAACTGATTAAGTGCGGATTGCATGGCTTGGGTATTCTCGCACAATAAGACAATATCATCCACATACTCAAGGTCGAGAAGTCTTTCTCCAGCAACAGAACCCCCTTTAAAAGATATGGACAAATATCTGATACTAGTTAAGTAAACCAAATATTTGTTTAAAAATAAAAAGTCATTCGAAGGTATCAATAATAGAAAACATTCTGTCATAACTTATGTTTATACAGTAATGCCCCGTATGACCAAATATAAGCATATTGTTTCCAAGAAAATATTTTAAACAAATTCATATGACAGGATGTCGCTAGAGTAGTTAACTAATATTTACTGATCCTTATAGTATCCTTATGGTGTTCAAGTAACTTCAAAGATTAAACTACAGTTAGAGTTCTTAAACTCTCACATTTTGTCCTTATGTGAAAACGAGCCTGATTCCTAAATTTATTTTGGTAGGAGTTTCATTTAAACTGTTTGTTGAAAGATATATATTTATAATCCTACTGAATGTTGTGCATTCAAATTTAACAGATATTTACAGGAGTTCACATCACTAGGAACAGCTGGTGGTATATATCAATTCCGTGACCAATTATTATCTGGATCTCCGGATTTGTTGTTCGTGATGAATGGTGACGTATGTTGTGATTTACCTCTTGAGGAAATGCTCGAGTTTCACAAATGTTTGGGTACTGGGGATCGATTTTTAATAATGGCGACTGATGTTAGTTGATACACTTTAGTTTATATCGTCCTTAAATATTTGGCTAATAATTCTAATTGTATAAATTTTTCCTCATAACAGGTTCTACTTTAACTGTTTGACGATTTTTCACTTTTGTTTGTTAAAACTGTCTAATCAGATTCCTTTGTGGAGCTATATTTTCTTCTTTACAAGAAATCGAACTCATTTGTAGTACATATTGCTACTTTTCAAACTAGTTGCTTGCGTAGGACTGCAGTGTATGCTTTCGGGTCACTAAGACCAACTCTACCCCAATTTCCTCTTCAGGTACTTCTAGAAGAACCCTTCCACGGTGTGGCCAACCGGGAAGTGATAACCGCTCTCATATTCCTAACAACACTCAAGATCACTTCTAACAGCTTGTGTGTTATAAACAATTAATTATAGCATAACGTGACTTCCAGGAACAACCTGCATGGATCTTGGGTAGGTAATATCTACTACTGGAATTAAAGAGATAAATACCATAACTTCGTCATAATAAAACTAATAACTGTTATATTCAGAGACAGGTCAAATTAACAGACGTCAGCACATAAACCAAATAACAACTTACTTCTAGGGCCTCATATATGACAGCGAATATGAAAGAGCCAAGACATGCTACAATCGCCTCTATAAGTTAAGAGTATGGTTTTAAGAAAAACATCATTTACTTCCAACTGTATCGATAATCCAGGATGAAAACAACAATGTATAATGCATATCAGTATTGAAATACATCTATAAATCATTTTGTATGATGGAAATGAGTAATACTTTCATGTCCATGGAATGATCGCTTGACTGCATACCAGCATGGGCCGGTGAATGATGAGAACCGTGGGCATGATCCATTCTTTTGGTTAGGTGTGTTTTCAGATCAGGAGGATAGAAAACGTTCGTATTGGAAATGCCTTTAAAATAAAAACGAGGACATTTGGTTGAAAACAACATGGAATTAATTGATTGTTTTCTGATTCATTAAATGCCAAACATGTGGAAGATAACATATAAGGATATGAGTAAAAACTGACATAGCAGTACATTGAGAGGTAACGGCTAAAAAAGCTCCATGCGATTTATAGTCCAATGGGATTACGTCCAGTTCCCAGATTCTACCTAAGAGCTCAGTCAATTTAACACTGGACCTCCATCCTTAAAAAACTCAGGGGAAGCGGTTCAGTTAGCAAAGGTACGACCAGAAAGGATTCTTCCAGTTAAAGAAACTACATCCATTTTTATGAAGAAAGTAAAAGAAGGTTACAACAGGATTGCCACCGGCTTCTATTCTGAACCACTGTGTTGCACCATCTCTAGGACCCCAGCTAGGGAGTCGTGAAGGACCGACACAAGCTAGCCCATTGCAGCTTTCTTTCATACCACGACACCATGTCATACACTGACCACCTCTCCGCTTTTTCCAACCAGTCCCAGAGTCGGCAAATAATGCACAACGTGGAATTCTCTGGGACGACATTCGTAGAGCATGTCCAAGCCACCGAAGTCGGTGTTTCAAGATGGTGACACCAATTGGATTGTCGTCTCTGACATAGCAGTACATTTAGAGGTAACAGCTTCATGTAATTTATATTTAACATTGGGACATACAAAGAATTTCTGATTTAAAACATGGCGAAGAAAACAACGGCAAAACAGTCACTCATATTGTGACTTCTAAGACAACGATTTGGGAGTTATGATGGTCTATAAAATGCCATTTTCTAAACAGTTATGTTCTACAGCACGATGCTATAAATCACCATTATTTGTACAAATTTCTCTGAATTTTACGACGAATAGATTTCTTTTATCTGTCATGCCATTACTAGGCTTCTGTGACTACTCAAATACACGGACATTTTGATCATTTCTAGAGAATATTCAAAAAGAATGTGCAGGAACAGACTTATGCAAATCTAGTTGAAGGAACTTGCAATTTGACGATACAATTCACATGTTGTAGTTAACGACACTAATTACAGACCTGATGTAGTTTGGATTTCTTGTTAGTATGATTGTTCATATGAATAAAGTTCTACTGTAATAATTGTTCTTTTAGCATTTGTTCATCCAGTTATGCTAAAATTTGTTTTCGTTTATAAATAAAAAAATTTCCCAAACAGTCGGCTACCAAAATGGCCATACAAAACGAAGCGACGTACTTAAACATAACAATGAAAACAGAGTAGTAGCGTGTGAGATTCTTTAAGATTGGTTTTGCTTTTCGATTCATTCGAATGACGTAAATCACTAATTAAGCATTTTATATTAGAATAGGTGGGAGTCCTATAGTTATTTTACACTGACTATGTAAGGGCGATATGCACTAATCACTCAATGTTTTTCGAAGGTTACATTACCTTACTATCCTTATCCAATATACATGTGGTTTGTTAATTTTGTTACCTAGTTACACTTTACAGGAGTGATTAATCTCAGAAAATCTGTTATTCTCGAGAATTATTTCAAATTCCAAGTTGTTTGGGAATCCAAACAAAAATTAATGCACTAAAAATTTCTGACAAATACAACCGGCTATGGTAATTTGAAGTGATAGTCCCTAGTCGGTTCAATGAAGTTGCAATGGTTTATTCTTTTGAATTTTGATATATTGTTTTCATGGGAATCGTAAACGTTTTAAAAATTTCCTAATTTATTGCTCTTTAATAGGCGACACGTCAACAATCTATGAAGTTCGGTTGTATTGTTGAAGACCCCAACACCCATGAAGTGAGCAACTGGTTATTCATTAAAATATTTCTGATCTTAGCATTTACTTTTCTTTCAGTCTTAATTTCACTTTAGTGTATATGCTTGTAAATAACTGAATTACTCAATACCCCACATAGGTTGCATTTATGTGTATGTTGTCTAATGTCGTGTAAGTGAAATATTCTTTCTAAGATATGTATAATAATGTCCCTTGAGTCACCTAGTCGCAGCGTAGAACTCGGTACCTATGTACATCAGTTTAGGTTGCCATACCCCATTAGCACAGAGAAATGAAATTGACAGAGAAAGTCCCAGTATACTAAAGTTAGTTACAGTATCAGCGGTAATAGTAAAGATTAGGCATCGAATGTAATTAAAGAAAATATAAATTAGTGAAATAAAAACAAATAAAAGTTATGAAGAATTCACAAGCTTATGGTTTGGGGTAATAGCATGTGTTTCAGTCAATATATCTCAGAGTTATCACGATAGGCAAGGTCGACTACTACGTCAAAGTAGCAGCTATGGTCAGTAACATCCCTCAAAGACGTAATATGTGAAGATGTGTTCTACATGAAGCTATTGGTAAAACTTTTAATTCTTTATCTATTCATTGTTTTGTTCAATTCTCAAATCGTTAAAGGTTATGCATTATGTCGAGAAGCCAGCAACGTTCGTCAGCACAACAATAAATTGTGGTCTTTACCTATTTACTCCTGGGATATTTAAATTTATTCGTATAGCTTTTCTTGAACATCAGAATCAACTAAAGTAAGTAATTTTCTCGTTAACTGCAAGTTTTTTAAATATAGGAGATTTAAATCAAGTTCGTAAATAAGCTTATTTAAATAACGATGACAAAAGAGCACTCGAAAATTCGGGTGGATAATTAAAATTTTTCGTTAGGTTCTCCTAAAGTACTCTCAATTTATGCATGTTATCGGTCTCTAAAGCTACTCACTGTTAGCTTAATCTTTTACTAAGATAATCACACTTTGTGTATGGTACTTTTGTTATGTTAGGAATCAGTAGTTAGAGAATATGTTCGACTTACATCCGAATCAGACAGATAGATTAAGGCCTTATCATGTACTAAGTTTCTCATACAACCTCGTTTAACTCTTGTTTTGATATTTTACCATCCCTATTGCTGTTTATTAGGTGCACCTTTGAGAAGTTCAACAATTAGAGACGATATAATTGTCTTTAATTGTAGCTAATATCTTAAAATAGTGATCTTACTTGGCTATCGTAATGATTAAACCAGGCTATGTTGAGTAAAACACTTGTTTCTTGAAGTCCTACACTATAAGATTTGTCATTTCGATAGTAGTAAGAATGAAGGCAGCAATTATAATGTCTGAGGAGTTATTGGATCTGTCAATTGCCGAGTAATCACATTAGTTTAATTTGTTTAATCTGGTTGGCGTTTTTTAGCAAGGTTTTTTTCTACGGCATGGGGTTGCCGACCCTTGGAAGCATCATCGATGAACAAGGAGGATCAGATGCAGACGTAAAGGCGAGGATTGGTAAAGCAAGGTCCGCATTCCTACAATTGAAGAACATATCAAACTCAAAACAACTGTCAACGAATATCAAAATCACAATCTTCAATACGAACGTCAAGACAGTTCCACTGTACGGAGCTGAAACTTGGAGAACTCCCACAACCATCATCCATAAGGTAAAAGCATTTGTAAATTGTTGTCTACGCAAGATACTCCATGTCCATTGGTCGGATACCATCAACAACGTCCTACTGTGGAGGAGGACAAACCAGCTTCCAGATGAAGAGGAAATAAGGAATGGACGTTGGAAGTGGATAGGACATAAATCACGGAAATCACCAAACTGCATCACGAAGCAAGCGCTAACTTGGAATCCTGCAAGGAAACGGAAAAGAGGAAGATCAAGGGACACTGCGTCGGGAATTACAAGCACACATGAAAAGGATGAATAACTGGAAAGAGCTGGAAAAGACTGACCAGGACTTTTAAGAAAGGCACAGTTACATTCTTTGTTTAATATAAAGGTAATGTTTCATCGCCCCCAAATGCCCTGGTATGGCCGAGAGTGGGGTGGGCCCGCTCTCCCTCTCGAAATACTCTCACACGGCCACGCGTATACAGCCTCTGCCAGGGAAGTCCTACTCACTGCCTTCTCGTGGCGGGGATGTTGTTTACGAAAATGAGAGGACGAAAAGCGAACGTCCGGCGCTTTAACCGGATCCCAAATCAATGGTGCACATGGGCTCCAGTATCCTGAAGGAACAAATGGCGTATGAACCAATTGTTGGTCACCGGCTACCATGGGACTGCATCTCCTCACGATGCTCCACTGCCTTGTGGGTTAGACCTTTAGGTCAAAGGCTCGGGTTGTGGCATCCTAAGAAAACCATCTGCTTTGGTTTGGGCACCCGGGCAGTATCACAGCCCACACACAAACATGATGAAATGTTGACATTTATGGAAAGCACTTTTGTTGCTCCAATTAACAACCATTTTCACATTATCATTATTATTACTATTATTATTATGACTACTATTATTATTAGTATTGTTATTATTATTACTATTGTTATTATTATTATTATTAATATTTTTTACGATTATTATTACTACTATTATTATTATTACCATTATTATTATTATTATTATAATAATAATAATAATAATAATAATAATAATTATTATTATTATTATTATTATTATTATTATTATTACTCGTATTATGGCCATTGACGACTGATCCACCAAATGAGGCGGAAGTCCGCAAGGAACTCCAACTCTTGAAACGCTACAAATAACCGGGCCCAGATGACTTACCTCCGGCTCTTTTTAAAGATGGTGGTGACTTTCTGACTAAGGGACTGACTACGTTGTTTGCAAAGGTCTGGGAACTAGAGAGTGTACCAACGTCATGGAATGAGTCGATAGTTGTCCCTATCTTTAAAAAGGGTTCACGTCGTTCCTGTAACAACTATCGGGGGATAAGTCTACTTCCGATTGCGTCCAAGCAATTGGCTTCCGTCATACTTAGTAGGTTGTTCAGAACCCGAGAAAGATTGACTCGCGAGGAGCAGGCTGGGTTTCGATCTGATCGAGGATGTATTGATCATATCTTCACCCTCCGCCAAATGTTAGAACACCGCCATACTTATCAAAGGCCAACAATCGTAGTGTTTCTTGATATCAGGGCTGCCTTCGATTCGTTGGATAGGACTTTTTATTGCTGGGATTGTCTATTGAAGAAGGGTGTGCCTGAGAAGTTTATTAACATACTAAAAGCCCTATACACAAACACCTCAGGCAGAGTGAGGGCATACAACCACCTTTCTCCTCTGTTCCATTCGAGCAGTGGGGTTAGACAGGGTTGCTCAATCTCGTCATTCCTCTTCAACTTTGTCATCGATGACATTCTGGAAACAGCTCTGATGGATGTAAGTAATGGTGGTGTGGATCTGTTGCCTGGAGAAAGACTTCTCGACCTTGAGTATGCGAATGATATTGTCTTACTGTGCGACAATACCCAAGCCATGCAATGTGCACTTAATCAGTTGGCAATCAGTGTGATATCAGATTGTTTTACGTTTACTGGTTCAAAAACTGTTTAGGTAGTACATTTATAAAGTGTAGTACAGCAATGAAATGCATCAGCCGGGAACTTTTAATTCATTTTACTGCACCATAACGAATTTATTATAACCATCTCTAATTACAGAAAACAAAACAGATTCAGAGAGCATGTTACAAAAACGGCCATTATTATGATGATATTATTATTTTTATTTATTATTTGAACACATAAATATTGGTACAAGGGGCACCAAATATATATGCGCCACACAAAACAATGAGAATTTAAAGAGAAGAGAAAAAAGGTACGGAGCGTCAAAAAAAGTACGTTAACGAACAGATTAGTGTAAGGTAGTGTAATAGTAATAATAATGGGGGAAACGAAAAGGTACAATCAGAGGAAATCTTAAGGAAGAAGCAACCACTCTTTACGAAGAAAGTAAAAGAAGGTTACAACAGGATTGCCACTGGCTTCTATTCTGAACCATATCTGATAACGTCTCTAGCCACTGTGTTGCACCATCTCTAGGACCCCAGCTAGGGAGTCGTGAAGGACCGACACAAGCTAGCCCATTGCAGCTTTCTTTCATACCACGACACCATGTCATATACTGGCCACCTCTCCGCCTTTTCTAACCAGTCCCAGAGTCGGCAAATAATGCACGACGTGGAATTCTCTGGGACGACATTCGTAGAACATGTCCAAGCCACCGAAGTCGGTGTTTCAAGATGGTGACACCAATTGGATTGTCGTCTCTGTGCCCGAACACATGATGCTGAACCTCTGCATTATTAACATGGTGTTGTCACTGGATGCCAGCGATCCTTCGGAGAGAGCGATGATCGAACACAGAGAGTTGTCTAACATCCTCAGCCCGGAGAGGCCAGGTTTCACAAGCAAAGAGCAAAACTGCTCTCACCGACGCGTTGTAGATCCGACCATTTGCAGCCAGACGATTAACATCACGAAGGCGCCAAAGATGGACGAGATTGGCATAAGCCGCTCTGGCTTTCACTATAAGTGCATTGATATAATCACTCACGCAGGGCAGGACAGTCTGACCGATGTTGCCGGAGCGGCAGGCCAGTTGAACTGCCCTTCGAAGAATTCTGCCCATCGTCCAAGACGTCGATGAATGTCAGTGATTGGCTTCTCGTCATCCTCGCAGATTGTTTCGCTCACACCAGACTTCTTGCTGTCATTGGCTCGGATGAGTTGGAAGAGCTTCTGGTAATTACCAGATGCAGCTGCTGCTTACGGCTCATTAGCACGCTCCGAGCACCAGGCTTCTCGGTCCTTACGCAAGCTTTGTCCGATTTCAGTACGTAACAACCTTCGTTTGTGGTCAAACTCACGGTCACCCGGTGTAGACTGACGGGCTTCCCTGAGTAATAAGGACTCTGGATAAACCCAGTGATTGTAAGCTGGGCGTTTCGCGGCAGTCAGTCACTAACATCATGGAACTTCGTACGTACGTACATCAGTTCGAGTTGCCATACCACATTAGCACAGAGACTCAGTTATCGATTCGAATCCCGTAGTGGTAGAGGTACTGATAGTATAAGTAGTGATAGGGAGCATTAGGGTTTGATGATGTTATTCAAGGAGTATAATCCTATGGAATAGATTTGGAGAGAAAATAAAGGACCCGAAGAATTCAGAAGATTAGAGTTTGAGAGAACACAAAGTGTGGATGCACCTGCGCGATTTCAAACGATTTTGATCCATGTCATTCAAGATCTCTAACCATCGGTTGCTATCGTCTCGTGGAACCCAACTTACCAACATGACTCAGTCCACTTGTCAGTGACTTCATGGATTTGTGCCATGTTTTGGTCTGGCCGCCCCTAGCTTTCTTCCAACCTACTCCTACACCATAAGACATCGCACATCGGGGCAGTCGGTGGTCGGGCGTGCGCAACACATGTCCCAGCCATCTCAACTGATTAAGTTTCACTACTTCAATTGATTTGCCATTTTCATGGCGTCATGCAATTACAACCAATGCTCATCTATACTTTACGGTAGAATGGTAGCTAACTTAGAAGCTAGCTCGGTTCGATACTTACTAGCAACAGATGTTGCAACCAACTTAGTGACATCAATCGTTTGGTGGCGGTCACTTCGTTGGCCACTGAAAAGTAAGGTAAGATTGTCGCAGACTACGGCATGATCAGATTGCAGATAGGTTAGATTTTTCATAATACGTATATCAAGTTATTTTACTGATTTACTATTTGTGTTAGGTATCATTCAAATTATTTAGTGTTGCCAGTGACGGTGTTAATGTAAAATAACAACAAGTATGTGGTTTTACTTAGTGGATTCAGTAATAAGAATGGCTAAAAATGTACTCTTACAGAGGCTAGAACATTTAATGCATTTTCAGAGGAGCAGTAGTCATCAATTTAGCGAATGAACGATGGAAGTGATTTTATCTTACAAACAGATTATTCCAGTGTGTGGAAAATTTACTGACGAAAGTATTACAATAAGAAAAAAGCTGGAAAAATCTTGCTGTAATAATAATAATCTCACTTCCTTCCCAATCAATCCTGATAAATATGTGACTAATTTGTCCTCTATTGTATTGTCTGTTCATGAGAAGGAGGCACTATCTTTGGGTTTAAAATTTTCCGTTCCTATAACACAAATATCTGAATTGACAATCAATGCCCAATTTGAAAACCTCTATGATCAATTGAATACTTTAACCCCTTCGTCCTTAGAGAATCAAAGTTGGTTTAAAGCCAAACTAGTAGATATAGCGCATCAGTTTCATTCTTCTGGACCAAAACAGAGAAGCATATTAACTTCTCACCACTTCAAATCATTAAAAGAATTGCGAAATAATCCTGATATTATTATACTTAAACCCGACAAAGGATCTGGTGTTGTTATTATGAATAAGTCCGATTACCAAAATAAAATGGAATCCATTCTCAGTGATAAAAGCAAATTTTTGGCTGATGTTGACTCCGATGGATTACGTAAATTAGAAAAGAAAGTAAACTCAAATCTTATGAAATTGTTAAACATGAAAGCTATTAACAAGGATGAGTATAATTTATTAAAACCTATGGGTTCGGCATATCCAAATTTATATGGATTACCAAAAATTCATAAGCCTAATATTCCCCTCCGCCCAATTCTATCAATGTGTCGGTCGCCTACACACAACCTTGCGAAATGGCTTACAAAAGTACTAAATCCTATCAGAAATCAATATTGTAAGTATTCGTTGACTGACTCATTTGAATTGATTAATTGCTTAAAGAACATAAATATAAAGACAAAGACAATGTGCTCTTTCGACGTGAATACTTTATTTACAAATTTACCTCTCAGGAAAACTGTTGATATTTTGTGTGACTATATTTCTTTGAATAACCTTCCTCTTCCATTTCCTGTTAGCACTCTTAAAGATTTATTATTATTGTGTACAGATAATGTAAAATTCACTTTTGAAGGTGAGCACTTCCGACAAATAGATGGTGTAGTTATGGGGAGCCCTCTAGGACCATTGTTGGCTGATGTGTTCATGGGATATGTGGAAAATTTAGTTGAAAACTCAATTCAAAAGATGGGACTATATAAACGATATGATGATATAATAATCATAGGAGATAAAGGTGATGACATAAACCGCTTGTTAAAAGAATTCAATAGAAGTCAAAACCACATTTCTCTTACATGTGAAGAAGAGAAGAACGACAAGCTTCCTTTTCTAGACATCTTGATCAGTAGGAGAGATGATGGTTCTATCCAACGTGCTATATACAAAAAAGCCATCATGGACAGGGCAATATCTTAATTTTCATAGTCACTGCCCTATTCATTACAAACGCGGTTTAATAAAGAGCTTATCCAGTAGAATCAATCGTATCTGTACTAGTGATACTATTGAAGTCGAGACGAAGCTCCTGACTGATACGTTAGTGAATAATGGTTATTCCTTGAAGTTCATAAACCGCTGGAAGGGTTGCAATACGATTAGACCTATGACGCTTCTGGCACCCAAAAAGCGAGTTTATATTACGTTACCATTCAGAGGCGACACAAATAGTCTCATGTTGAAACGGAGACTTAAATTAGCCATCAACCGGACATTTTATGCAGCCCAACTTGTCATTATTGAAAAGACAAGGTCTATGTTTCACCAAAAGCCCAAACAGCACGTAAGCGATTGTATCACATCCCATTGCGTCTATCAATTTACATGTATGTGTGGAAACACGTATATAGGGAGGAGCAATCGTGATTTTCAATTAAGGGTGGGTGAACACATACCAAAATGGTTGCAAAAACAAATGGATTCCAATGGTCAAATAAGATCACAGGATAGACAGACATCATCCTCCATTGCGAAACATTTGATTGAATTTAAAGCAATTAGTCCCTTTTATAAATTTCGATAGAACAATAAGAAGACGGAGTTGATCTGAAAAATGTGATGTATTTGCGCTATACATTTCGAACAATCTGGTCACACATATACTTGTCAGGGTATTTTTATATGAAAATTAATAAAGGTCAATTACATGAAAGTTGAAGTACAAACAAAAATAACAAAGGGGAGAGAAAGGATAAGAAATTGTCGCATTATCCTAGGCCATAGAATGACTCAAGGATTACCAAGGTAAATTCAAGGTTACGACAAATTGTTTTTGTACACATAAAGGGGGCTTAAATTTACGAATAGCCAAGGCTTCTATAAACTTAAGAATTCGTCCTTGACAATTTCTATACAACGTTTTAAAAGCTGCATTAATATCAATTTTGTGCCCCGTTTCAATTATATGTTTCGCTATCGATGACCCTGGTTTTCTACCACCCACGTTGATCGGATCGTTTGACACACATTGATTTTGAAGCCATTTAGGCACATGTTCATTGACCCTTGATTGCATTGTTCGATTACTCCTCCCTATGTATGTGTGTCCACACAAACATGTAAATTGGTAAATACAATGGGATGTGACGTAATCATTGGTGCATTGTCTGGGTGTACTAGGAATCATGGCCTTGGACTTTTCAATCACAATCAATTGAGAAGAAAAGTGTAGCATGCGTGTAGTATAGGAATAATCCTACACCGTATCCGTTGTTGTCTGTGCGTTTAGTCGCGAAAGCGTACGGGTAATCGTACTTGGCGACCGGAACGTGAGACGGTAGTCTCGTTCGTACTTCGTGAGCCTGCGATCTCATCCGAGGTCAAGGGCGGCGTGGTCTGCCGATCTGGACGTGAGACGGAAGTCTCGTCCGTAGATGGTACAGATGACGCGTGCTGTTGACCGGGACGTGAGAACGAGGTCTCTGATGTATCTAGCGTGGGATCCGAGGTAGACGTAGAGATCCCGCTAGAAGGTTTGGTAGGTCTAGCATTGAGTCTCAAGTTATTTGGTAGGGCACTATCATCGACGTGTGCTGGTTTGAGACGATCAATGCTGACGATCTCGACGCGGCCGTGTCGATCAACCTTGAAGGTCTTTTCGTGACGAGAGATCACGTGAAAAGGGCCTTCGTAAGGCTGTTGTAGAGGTTTGCGTACCGAATCTACTCGTATGAAGACATGTGAACAGGTAGATAACTCTCGAGGGAGAGCGACCTGTCGATGTTGTATTCGAGTTGACACCGGAGACAGCGTTCGCATAAATGCAGACAGTCGATGGGCGTAGTCTGATTTACCGAAATCATTACTGCTCCGTGGTGTGAAGAATTCCCCCAGGCAGACGCAATGTCGTGCCGTATACAAGTTCAGCGGCGGAACGTTGGATATCTGCCTTCAAACTCGTTCTGATACCTAAAAGAACGAGCGGTAGGGTTTCGTACCAATTGTCGTTTTCGTGTGCTCGAAGAGCACTTTTAAGTTGGCGATGAAACCGTTCAACTAAACCATTTGATGCTTGGTGGTAGGCGGTTGTGCGTATGCGTTCCCCGTACCAAGCAGCCGGGTCAGTGAGGAGAATAATGCGGACTCGAATTGTTGTCCTCGGTCAGTCGTGACAGTTGAGGGACAACCGTACAATGCTATCCATCGTTCTACGAAGCGGTGAGCAACTGTCTCCGCCGTGATAGACGTGATGGGAATAGCTTCGGGCCATCTTGTAAAACGGTCAATGCACGTGAGTATGTGATCATACCCATGCGATGGTGGCAATGGTCCTACAATGTCTATATGTACGTGATCAAAGCGAGCATCAGGCGTAGCGAACGTGCCAATGGGGGCAGCTACGTGCCTGTGCACTTTTGATCGTTGACACTGTAAGCATTGCTTTACCCACATACGAACATCTTTATTCATGGACGGCCAGACGTATCGTGCAGCGATGAGGCGTAATGTGGCTGCGATACCTGGATGAGACAATCCATGAAGGGCATCAAAGACGAGACGGCGATAGGCAGAGGGTACGATGGGTCGAGGAAGACCGGTAGAAATATCACATAGGATAGTACCTGAGCTAGTAGCTAGGGGTACTTCCTGACACTGAAGGGACGAAGACTGTGGTGCTTCTGTACAGACAGGATCGTTTGCTTGCGCGACCGCCATAGCAGGAAGATCGAGCACCGGTGAAGTAACTGCATTCGTCTGGATACGTGAAAGAGCATCGGCAACATAGTTCGGCTCGCCTTTAATGTGACGAAGGTCTGTCGTGAACTGTGAGATATAGTCCAAATGTCTACACTCTCGTGGTGAGTAGCGGTCAGACTTGGTATGCAGGGCATACGTTAAGGGCTTATGGTCGGTGAATAAAATGAATTGGCGTCCTTCTACTGCGTGCCGGAAATGTTTGATGGCGCAGTAGGCTGCAAGCAGCTCGCGACCAAAAGCGCTATATATCGTCTCCGTGGGAGTAAAGCGTCGTGAGTAAAATTCAAGCGGTTGCCAACTACCGGAGATATTCTGTTGCATGACGGCTCCTATAGCGAAATCTGATGCATCAACCGCTATACTAAGCGTGGCTGATGGGTCAGGATGAGCGAGAAGTGTAACTTGAGCGAGAGCCGTTTTGATCTCTGAGAATGCAGTACGTGCGGTATCGTTCAATTCTAATTTGCGTGGATTACCTTGTAGTAAATCGGTTAATGGTCGTAACCGTTCTGCCGCGTGAGGGATAAAACGTCGGTAGAAGTTAACCAAACCGAGAAAAGCCTTCAGTTCCTTGATTGAGGACGGCACGTTGTACTCCTTTAACGCTCGAATTTTGTCCTCGCAAGGCAGAATACCCTCTTGTCTGATGATGTGACCCAGAAATATTATTTCTGATTTACCCAATTCACATTTCTCTGGGTTGACTACTATTCCATTATCCGAAAGACGTTGGAATAATAGCGTAAGGTGTTGATAATGTTCATCTACGTTTGATGATGCGATCAGCAGGTCATCAATATAGACGTGAACAAAATCCAAGTCTCGTACTATGCTATCGATAAACCTTTGGAAAGTTTGAGTAGCATTCCGTAATCCAAATGGCATTCGTAGGAACTCAAACAGACCGAACGGAGTCGTGATAGCAGTTTTTTCGATGTCTTCAAGAGCGACTGGGATCTGGTGATATGCTCGTACCAGATCGATTTTAGAAAAGATAGTCGTGCCCTTGAGCGATGCCGTGATGTCGTGTATGTGGGGGATGGGGTAGCTATCAAGGCGCGTAACTACGTTTAAAGCTCGGTAGTCGCCGCATGGTCTCCAACTAACCCCATCCTTTTTGCGCACCATATGAAGAGGAGAAGCCCAGGGACTGTGA